CCCTTTCTTTCCAGGCATCCTTCTTTCTAAAAACCACCAGAAACCCTGGGGAAGCAGCCGGTTTTTTGAAAAGGATGGGGATTCAACCCCTAGAATAAGTGGTTCCTTGTAAAAAATCCGCTCGCCATTTGAGGAACACGGGCCTGGCGTTGACGATCGCACTCTCGAGCTTCGAGCCCCGCGACGCGTCGCGGGCATCTGGGGTGCCCCTCTTCTATAGCCTCGTGCAGGTGCCGCTCGACGGCTCGACGGCATGGAGCATTTTCGAGCTCACCAAGTCGGGAGTAAAGCGAGCTCAATTTGGTGAAGATCCTTTACAGAGGAATCCCTTATTCAGGTTTCTGAAAATTACAGGTTGGCGGTTAAACATCGCCTTATTGTCCCTTGTGCAGTGAGCTTCCTTTGGGGGCGATGGTTCAAGGGGAAGTATGGCCAGAAAATTTCAGCTGGATTCAATAGGGACCACCTCAAAAGTGGATGGTGGACATGAATCCTCCTGAGTTGTTATTGTTCAAGGGTGCCTGATGGAAATTCACACGCCATGGGAATATCGCAAGCTTAGGATACCCCGAATCAAGAAACTGGTGTTTTTTAGGGATTCATAGGAATTCATCCATCCCAACTGGTGTGAAGTGAGGTCTGTTTTAGGTTTTTCAGCATCAGCACCCGGTCAAGTGTTATGTTAATTAAGTGTTGTCTGAATGTACACGGTATACTGTAACTTTTACAACGCCGAACGTACAAAGCTGTTAGCTCACTTTGAGGTGCACATTCCAGGAGGCCTGTAGGGTCTGGGTAGCACTTCGTGTTGAGATATGCGTTCCTGCCTACAGCATGTATACCTTTATCGATTCAGAGTGGCAGTGGTTGCATTTGTATAGTTCTGCCAATTTTGTGGCGAGCTCAAGGTTCCGGGGGTCGAAACAACCTCACCAAGATGCAGGCCCTTTACTTGGAGATCTAATTCCAATCAGAATTGGAATGTAGAATTTGCACATACCTTTGTGAACAGGGTACTTCATTCTTTTTGTTGCTTACGGATGTATAACCAGGGTTGCATTGAAGAGTATGGTTCGCCACTGTTGTTGGATGCTGGCGCCCGACACCTACGCCAGATGAGCTTGAACATCTCAGGCGAGCTGAGGATATTGCATTCCTTTTTTGGCGCTCGAATGGAACAAATGTCGTTCTGTCTTTGTTTATTTAATGTAAGTCTCTTACATTTCTGGCAAGAAGGTTTGCACAGACATTGTGTTGCAAAAGGTAGCGCGCCCGCAGCAAGTGATGCGAGTAAACGTTGAAGGACCTGTACTTCTAGTCATTATATCCAAGAGCCAGTGTGTTTGCCACGCGACGTCAATCACAACTAGATACTGGGGTAGTTGCACTGGGATAGGTTTAAGCCTAAGCAGCTTCGAATGTGTTCGGTCAACGTGAGTCTGAGTTCCCCCAAGATACAGCGAATCACGGCACTGCCATTGTATTTGAAACAGCCCACGGTCTTGCTGAGGTTGAGCAACTTTGATGAAACCTCCAACCCTGGTTTCTTAAAGGAAAACAAGCATGAGGTTGTTTACAACATAGTCATTGACATATGTTTGGACAACTTATATTACCCCAAGGGTGCTCCCTTGACCCATAGCAAACCAGCCACGCGAGTCTCCAGATTCCATTGAACATGGGGTCATGACTCCTTGTTGGATGGCCGAATGCTGACATTTGTGGGTGTGTCTCTTTTGGGGGACTCCTCCAACTTTTGGTTCCCTTTTGAAAGTGCAACAATGACGCCAGGTGCTATGCCCAACAGCCGAAAGCTGCCCCAAACCAGGGCAGAGACCCCATAGTTTTCAGTTGTTGGGGAAGAACCAGGGTGCTCTCAGGAAAAAGTCAGACCCATGTTTGTATGCCCTTTCTTCCCACGGACCTGAATCCGAGGATCGTCATGCCGGTTTTTCTGCTGTTCGCTTGGAAGACGGGCATGACATATGCTGCACGGCTGAAACGGGAGGTGTCTTGGATTCCCTTCTTGGCAAGGGGGTTGCTTTGACATCAAATCTCGGTGGCTCCCAGCCATCCGGTCCCTTGGCTTTTTAGATCCTTTTAGTGTTCAGTGGTTGGAGTTCCATTTAACCCACAAGTTAGTCACTTTTAGCTGGGGATCTGAAAACGGAGAGCCCAGAAATGGAAACCCTCAAGATCCATTTGCATCATGAAACCCGGTGCCTGGCGTGGGTCGTTACCTTTGTTTTCGGTTGACTAAAGGGAAACGAGTGGGCCATCACTTTTTTGTGGGTTACCCTATTCAACTGTTTTAGCTGGGGCACTTGTCACAAAACAACCCATGTGATGACCCTTGCGCTGGGCAGACAGATGCCGCCTCATATGTTTTGCCTGGGGTGTTTGTTTTGGGGAGCCCCTGTTTGCTTGAGAGCAAAACGGAGTAAGGACAACCAAGAGGTAAGCACGGTGCTCAGGCGTTGGTTGCTGCTTGGTACTTGTTTCTTGTTTGTTTGCTTTGTTGAGTTGTTTGGATAGGTAGCTGGGCTGGTTTCTGTGCATCTTTGTCTGATTTCGTTTGGTTTGGGTTAGGTTGGTTTGGGGTTGGGTTGGGGTTGGGTTGGTTGGTTCCTGGGTTCCTGGGTTCGTTGGTTTCTTGGTGGATTTCTTCGCCGGTTTCTTTTGGTTTGGCTTGGTGGCTGCCAAGGCTCCGGCGAATGACTCCTTTCACCGCGTGTTGTTCGGCTGCCACCAGCCGGTCAGCAAAGTGGAGGCCGGATGGATTCCTTGTTTGGGACTCGTTGCCACTCGGGGGCTAGTGCCAGCCATCCGGTTCCTCAACCTTTTAGATCTTTTTAGTGTTGAGTGGCTGGATATTCCATTTAAGCCACAAGTTAAGTGTTTAGCGGATCTGAAAACGGACAGCCCGGGTGTGTCCCATTTTCTTCTTGGGGTAAGTGGGCAACTAGTGAATGGTTGAGCGGTTCGCGGACCAGTGCGGTTTGGGGCCGCCCAGTTTGACCGCCAAAACGAAGGGGCACCCTTTGGATACAAAACCAGAAGCCAAGTACCTCGAGGCAAAGGATTTTGCGTGCTACGTGGCCCAAATTGTTTCTGTCAAAACCAAAAGGTCCACCACCGAACCACTGCGTCTTGGGCAGTTAATGTCTATCATGTAGCTCTTAGTTAGTGGTTTGGGAATTGAACCGCTGCTTCCCGTAGGGGGCAAATGGGAACCCCTGCTTAACCACCAAACCGGCGGGAAGCTGAGTCTAGTTTGAGAAGCGCCCACTTCTTCCAAAACTTGCCCTGCTTTTTCAGCGGGCGTTTTCGCGAGGAGACACAACCGGACGATGGCATCGGCAGAAGCGTTAGCGACGCAGCGCCTTGGCAGCGTTCCTTTTTGTTGGTCCTGGATCGATGTGGTGCGTAGTGCTGCTTGTGTTGTGTAGGCATAATCCCGCAAATGACCAAGGGTAACTTTTCCCACGTAGTGAAAGTCGAACTTTTTTTGGTTTCCCCAATGGTTATCCCATGTTCATCGGACCTTTTGATCAACCCCCAATTGATACCCTTCTTCACTTTATCAATGCTTCTTCCAAGGAAACCGTTTACTTCGGAATCTCCGCAGCTATGAATGGAAACATTGCAACTGCAATGACTGCAATAATTTTGCTATCTAGATATCTATAGAAACTATAGTTGGTATTTATTTGTTTTGAAGCTCAAGAGACATGTTTAGTCAGTTTCTGCAGCAGTGTCTAACATGCGGGTGCCTGTTTAAAGAGGCAATCATTTGCGGGCATCAGTATATATTTTGTGTGAATCCAACTAGTTCAGCACATCTTGACCATGCGAGCAAGCACCCCCCTTGTCGAAGACACACGCCTGCAGAAGTAGTCAGCATAGTAATCCAACGCACATTGATCTCTACTCAAATGACTGCAGCTCAACCCAAGTTTTTTGTGGATGTTGCGTTTTTAGTCATTGGCTGGTCCATCATTATTGGCCCACAGCAACTCAAGCTTAGTATCGATGCCTCCAACATGGGTCCCGATTTACTCAGGTTGCAACACCAGACGTACGACTTGGCTTGACGCGATTTAGCACATCTCTTCGCTGACACACATACTCGGACCGAACTCAAAATTTCGTGCAGCTCTTCTGGGCCAAATCACTACAAACGGCCATGATAAAAGCATCAGCTAAGAACGACTCCAACCTTTGATCTTCCAGGACAGTGAACATTTGCAGGCCTTTTTCCGATAGGACCCCTGTTTTTGCGGGTCCTTGGAAGAGCAAGGCAAGATTTGGTCTTTTTGGCCGCCTTTGGCTTTTGTTTGCGTCGAGTCCCAGGTGATTGTGGTACGGATCGGCAACGGCAGCAAAGATGCGAAGGCGCCAATCTGAAAGACCTCTCGCGGGTGTGAGGGTTGCAACGCCATTTCTAGATGTATTGCATCTTCTTTTTTCGGGGGTCGCCGTTTTGGTCAGTTTGAAACGGAACCAAAACGAACCCTGCATTTTTGGGGCATTTTTGGGGCTGCCATGGTTGCCAAATTCTAAGATAAACCTGTTGTTTAAATTTACTTTCCTCTAGATGAATTGCGGGGTAGGTGCATTCAATTCCATTTTGCCTTTGGCAACGGGATTGTCTCCGAGAGGAACATCGGGTAGTTTCCTCGGTTCCCTTTTAAAACCGCGGAAGGCTATAAGAACAAGCCGCCCCCCATGTTTCCTGTGGGCCTATGTGCACTGCTTGATTTGAGATAAATCGTCGATCTGCCGCTGGCCATGTGCCAAGGAGCCCAGTCAGAACGACATTGAGAACACTGATCCGTGGAAAGGAGGCTCTCATCCTTTGGCAAAGCAGTCTCCTTCACCCAGTGAGGATGGACAAAAGCGGGAACCAATGGAGAATGAGTTGACCTAGCTCTGGCATTTTTCAGCTAATCCTTTGGTCTTATTTGTCGCCGCTATTCGACACAGAGGTTAGTGCTCCTTGATAAGAGAAGCATCCATATTTTTTAGGCCAGGCTTGGTTTGTCGATGTTACATTCCGGTGCGACTGCAGACCTCGGCGTGCTGTGATGTTCCGCCTTTCTATGCTTAGACCTTCCAGGCCACGGCGATTTGTTCAGCGATGGCTGGCTAGCCAGATGCCAGAGGGCAGGGCAGAGCATCGCTTGATGGTGGTCCACAGTACATGCCAATCCATGCGCTTGCAGAAACGATTTGGAGTCAGCCAGAGAAGGGCCGACTGGAACTTGTGGTCAGTGGGTGGTTCTAAAATGTTCGTGGGTGGACGAAATGATTGGAATGTTTTGGCAGCAGATCCTGCGGTCATATAATCCCTCATGGCGAAGCCAGGGGGAAGAAATATTTTGCGTGAAGCGCGCAATCGAGTACGCCGTGTTCGGCTTGAGGACTTGGGGTCCTTTGGGCAACAAGAAACACGTGGCAGATGGCACAACGCCAAGCGTCGGTGAAGAAAAGTCATCCCTGAAACCCACAGTGCATGCACCCAAGTGGCCCAAGCGTTCATTGACTTGGCTTTCCATGGGCCACGGCTCCTTTGTAGGGGTTAACACCATAAGACAGTTGGGAGCCTCCAAGTCCTGCGTGCATTGATCTGTTACTCGCAGATGCGAGGCGTATTTTTGGTTTGCCCATTGAAGGTCATTCATTGCCTCGGCAATGAATGACATGCGGACACCTTTCCGTATTTTATTCCCAGGAGGGAGGGAAGGCTGCACTTGATCGTTTGCGAGAAGGCAAGCACATGGCTCTCAAAACCTGGGCATGGACATTACACCCTCGAGGTACACCCTAGGGAAATTTCCAAAATCCCAATAAGCCCAGACAACCAGGTTTCATTTGGAAAGCTGGAATGTGATGCCCCAGAGGGCGTCCCAGGGTGTAATAGGAGAGGATATGAGACTTCTGCGAAGCAGGACTCCCTCGCCTTTGAGCACGCGTTCAATTTCTTTGTTCAACTTATAGCCGCGCGTCACCGTGAAGCTTCCTTTCCTGGGAGTCCCTTTTCGGTTGCAGAATGGTATGTACCCTGCCACCAATGAATAGGGAACCTGACAGGGGGTCCCTTTAATTCTAAATTGGTTTTCCAGGAGCCCCCTGTCAGGTTCCATGTTGATTGGTAGGCCACTTTGCCCAGATTCGTCCATGCAATACTCTGAAAGGCCTGGCTTTAGCGGAGGATGCCGCCGCGCTGCTTTTCAGAAACGGAAGGTTGTGGAAAATGGGCGCTGCTTCTGGGGGTCCGTGGTGTTGATGGCAACCGGCTTGCAAGCCGCGAGATGAGTGTCTAGGTCCCCCAGTAGTGCCCTTGTACCCTTTTCTTGGGGAGGGTTCCCCTACTAAAATAGACCACAGAAAAAGGGTATCCTTATTCTATCTTCTCTACTGGAGGACCTAGATGAGCTTCGCTCAGAACTTCCGGCATTTGTCTTTGTCCCATTTGGGAGGGAGCTGGCTGTGTCACACGGGGTGCCTTTCTTTTGCGGGGCTCCTTTGTTGGCGGTGTTCGAAGGGACACGGGGGGGACTGTCCCCCAAAACAGACACACCCATTGTCCTTTGACCGTGCCCGTGGGTTCTTGTGTGCCCGTTTTGCTTTTGCATTACGCGGCGCGTGTCTAGGCCTTTGGTGGAGCCATTCGCGCTCAAGCCACTCGCTTCCTCAAGCGCGGAAGCGACTCGATGCAGAGATTCGACTTTGCATCAGATCGTGTTATGTATTCTAGGTCCTCCAGTAGTGCCCCAGCACATGGGCCAGCGCTTGTGAATGGAACTGTCTATGTCCACCAGCTAGGTGCCCTTTTACCGTTTCTTTTGTGGGGGAGGGTTCCCCTACTAAAATAGACTACAGAAAAAATATCGGGTACCCTTACACTAACCTCTCTACTGGAGGACCTAGTATTCATTGACGACCTTAAACGCCGCAGTGTGACATTTTCCAAAACGGTTGGCCCAGCGGCCAAAGGTTACATTCCTATCGGAGCATGTCCGTCCATGGCCTTCTTTGGCCGGCGCCTCAAAGACACGCTCGTGTTTTTTAATGGCTCGGGAACCTTTTTGCTTTGATCTAAAGGGAAACCCAAAGGAACACTGCCATGTTGTTTGGGGAGGTTCGGGGCTATTTGGACACAGGCCCATCAAGCCATGGGTGGTCTGAGTTTGTAGTCAGGTCGATTTGGTGCCTGGGAGCAGAAGGCCAACAGCCATCGCAAATAGAGTGCCCAAAAGCGAGCCGTTGTGCTTGTGCTTCTGGATAATTACGGCGATTTCAATTTTAAGAGTTGGAATCACCTCAAAAGTGCTTGTTGGAAAGAGAATTCCTCCCGAAATCTGACGTGCACTAAAGGATCTGGGACACTTGAAGTATCACACCCATATGACAGTCTGCAAGCAACTTGAGAATTGGAATCCAGACAGCCAAGTTGCCTCTGTTTTTGTCTGTGGGTTGTCTCTTATGTTTCAGGGTATTCATTTTAGGTTGGTTTTCAAGTTGGTTTACAGGGAAGCCAAAAGGAAGTCCGAAGCCATTTTGGGCCCCAGGAACGACAGACCCATGTTGGAATGTGGGCACTGAGGTGCGAAGGAGCACGTGCGATGGGATGCCGGTGACTTTTGGTGGGCAAGGGGTTGGTCTTGCAGCAATCGGGCACTGATTAGCTCACTGAGTTCCTTGACTTTAGACCTTTTGGGAAGACGAGTTTAGTGATAAATACAATGTTCTGACTTTGTGTTGGCTAATCCCCAATCCACTCAGGAAGTGAGATAAAAAAGGCTTCCAAAAAAGAGAAGCGCCTTTGAACCTGTTGGATCCCAGGGTTGCAGGGACTGTCATCGTCCCTCAAGCTTGCATGCGACTCTTCTCGAGGCGTAGCACTAAAATTCCAGAGGTAGACACAGCAGTACACCCGGGTGAAACTAGATGGCACACAGTCCCGTTTGGGTAAGAACAGGGGATGACATGGGACTAACCAAAAGGCAACATTTTCATTTTACCATCGACTTTTACCCAGGCATACCCAGGCGTACCTTACTTAAAGGTGACAAGGTCTTAGTCTGGTCACGGCATTTGATTGTGGCAAAAAGAAACGGAGCCCAAACCGGGGGTCCCCCACAAGGTTTTGCGGTTTGGTGTTTCCGTGTAGATCGGGCGGTTGGGGCCTGTTCGAGGACACGGTTACCTGCGGTTGGGGCCCAGGCCGGCAAGCCAAGCGGCGTTTGCTTTGCCTTCGTGTTTCAAAAGGCAGTTCCCACCCAAAACTGTGGAACCCGACGTGGCGGCACGTCTTGGAAGCGTCATTTAGGAGAGCATTTCCCTGTCAGGTTCCGGGTGAATTGGTGGGAGGGTCTCAAATATTGCTTGCTTGCGATGCGGGAATGCATTATGCGTTTGGCTCTGATTCAGAACCACACCTCGTCATTTCTTTAGACTTCAGCCCCTTCAGTCTAAGCTGTCGACGTTCCCAGGAAGGACGGATCTCGGATCCAAAGCGTATGGGACAAGGTTACGCGACTTGCCAGATCCACAGCCAAACTGGCATTTGTGCTTTCGCAAAGCAAACCGGCCCAGAAGTTTGGTCAAGCTGACGGTCAAGTTTTGCTTCAGTTCCTGAAGCAACTGAAGGTTTTTTGCTCGGTTTCTCCGAGGGCGTGTTGAGACTCTGCGACACTTGCCTTGTCAGGTTGGACCTGCAACGAGGCCTGGGGACTTGAGTGAAAGACCAGGGAGCCATGGGCCGTTGCCTCGAAAAGCCGCCTCTGTTGCCAAATCGCGGAAAGGCTTTTCGGAAATGGCCTTTCCATCAACCCGAGGGGTAGACTCAGAGCGTTTGCTCCAAAAGCAACCCAAAGGTGATACCAAGGACCTAACATGTCTTTAACATTCCTTGCTTTCTAGCCAAGGTGTGTGTTTGCACCGAACCACACAATTTGTCGCGGGAGGCGCCTTGTTTTTTCTATCAGCTGATATTGCCATCAGTGCACCCAATGTGAAGCCCAAGCACCGGGAAGCCCTCCTTCGGATGTCATTGACTGCGAATCGTGGTCCCTCATGATGCACCTTGCCCAAACCAGGCGCACGACTCACAGCGCTCTACGCTGCTGACAAGCGAAAGGTGGGGGGAAGCAAACTTTGGTCAGACATAGGCAAGCCAGCAAATGTATCAATGAGGTGAACATCAAGATGTTGCTCAGCTACTTCCAGTGGATTGCTAACAGCTTTCTTTTTGTTGCGCCCATGGCCATACACTCCCTGCCCGAGTGGACCACATGTTGAGCTTTGAGTTGCCGTCGGTGAATTGCACTTGACTCTTGTTGTTTTTCTTCATTGTTTGGCCTAAAATGTCTGTGGCGCATTTTGCTTGGATGTTAGGACTTTAACTTTTTGCCAACTAATGGGTTTTCCGTTAAACCACTAAAAGTGAGTTACTTTCAGCAGGGGAGCAGAACGCAACTGAGATGTGTGTTTTCCTTTGGTTTCTTTTGAAGTCAAGCTGAGCAGGCTTCCCTCCGAATATGTCACGACTGAAGAGCTGACGACTGCTGATGGCACCTGGCATGTCAGCATGGTCCTTTGTGTGTTTGCGTGGGAACAATGTCAGGCTGCACCCACATTGCAACAACTTGGACACAGAAATTCCGGATTCCCAAAATAGATTCCAATCCAGTCTAATCCGATTTGCAAAACATGGGGATCAAAGGAGAACCCGGAAAATGGATGGGTTTCCTTTTGGTTTCCCTTCAAGCCCACCTTAGCCCACCCCAAAAAGGGGCGACCCTTCTGCGACTCGATCGATGAATTGTATCAATTCTAGGCCGTGGACTCTTCCGTCTGAGAGACCTCCGTCCCCGCCGAGGCGAGCTGGAAAAAACCGGCATGGCTGGATGTTTATTTGACTAATGACCCAGAAGGTTGTGACTTTCCTTTGGAATGTCGGAATTGTTTAAATTCCACCCCCCCTCCAAAAAAA